AGTCCAAAACATGGCTTCATCTGCTGGTCTCTGCAAATTTCAGTTTTTGTAGTTCTTTCAAGTTTCTGTGTAACAATAAACTAAAACGTCCAAAAAGGAGAAAAAGCTCTTCATTTAAAGTAGAGTGTCCGTCATTTTAACAGATGTTTAAAAGATCCTGAACCAATCAGGATTCAGATCCACCATTACAGCCTGGAGACCTTCATGTTTTAACCACCATTCTTCCAAACTTCCTCTGGAGACAGGGAGGAGAAGCTGGCCTTCTCTGGCTGTGCTTGCTGTGCCTGACCTCTGACCTCTGACCTCAGAGGAGCTGTGGGGGCAGCCGGCTGGACTCACCTGAGGGGACGTTTTCATACATGGTGCCTCCTCTCCCTCTGCTGCTCCTGGATCAGGACAGAGAAAAGCAAAGGCCTATTAAGGACAGAGCAGATGAGGCCGGGCCCGACTACTTCCTGGAGCTCCGGTGGCCATTTCTGATAAATGAGCCATTTTCTGGACTCTCCTAAACCAGGAAACGCCTAAATATTGGCCCTAAAAACAGCTAATCTTCACCAACACTGAATCTCTCTAAACGGCGCATGTGACGTCATCGGCAGCTCTGCTATGATGACGTAATGTAAACCAGGTGCACGAGCCCAACAGGTGTGCCCCCCCCCCCCCTGAGGTCTGGGCCGAGCCTCCCGGGCTTCCTGATCCGGGAACCAGTCAGAGCGAAGCGGAACCAGAACCGAACCGAGGGCCGCTCAGAGCTCACCTGTGCGCTCACCTGAGCAACCAGGAAGTGACCCGGGGCTGGGTGGGGGGGCTGATGGGACAATCCCGTGCGCCTTAAACGTAACCGTGTACAGGTGAGATCTCAGAGTTTACAGAGGGGCCACGCGCCGCTCGCAACAGGTGCGTCAAACTTCCCAAAGTCAGGGTGGCACCGCAGTGCCCCCCCCCCCCCCCCCCCCCCCCCTCCCTAACCCGGTTCGGTCCGGACCCGCCCGGCTCCGCTTTACACGGAGAACCGGGCCTCCCACGGCCGGCCGGACCCAAACACACCGTAAACCGGCCCCGGACCGCAGAACTCACTTCAACTGGATCCAGCTTGGCACCAGCGTCGCTCCGTGCTGCCTTCGCGTGCAGTCGGAAACACTGATTGCAGCTTCCGGAACGAGAGCCAAAACGTTCAAATTGACCAGCCCCGAGCAGGGTTTTTGTCCAGAGACTTTCTGTTCCTGCCATAAGTGTGGAAAACCGCTCCAATACCCGGCTGCACAGTGAGAGGACCAAGCAACATTTAACTAAACTAAATTCAGATTAAAGAAGATCCGACCGTTGGAAAGTTGATGTCTGAAACGATCCCTCATGAATGTGTTTTATTATTATAATTAGAATTGTCCCTCTTTGAGTGTTTTAGGTTATTTTTCTCTATATTTTACTGCTTCTATTGGTCATTACACAAAAATTCCCTGTTAGGGAAAACTTTAATAAACAGAATTCGGATTTTACTGAAATTTTTATGTGGTTTAAAGTTATTTAAAAGGTTTGATCCTCCTCCCCACACTTTTTAACCATCGTTGGTCATAGTGGAGCCGTCCCAGTGTGACATGTGTACCGGGGGGAAGCATCTCTACGTGCCAGTGTCTCGGCGTCTGCCTTAACCTTTGCTCTAAAAGGCATCGTCGCATGACGTAAGCAGCGGTTTCAGGTGAGTTGAGCGACCTTCCGGTGGTTTTTTGGACTCCTCCTCCTGCAGAGCTCCGAGCTCCCACTGACCGCAGCGCCCTGAACGCAGCGCTCGTCACGTGACGCGGCAGTCATGGCGACCCCCGGCCGGCGGTGGCTGTGCGTACGCTCCGGGATGTGGGCGCTGCTGGTTTACTGCGTCTGCTCGCACCTGAGGCTCGCGCTGGCGGAGGACGTGGAGAGCTGCGAGCACCTGAGACTCGGACAATATCCTTTCACTGACGTGCACGCGCTCGGGTCGCGTGCGCGGGCGGTTATTGGTTAGCAGCTAGCTTAGCTTCAGCTAGCTTAGCTCAGGTTGGGTCGGGGGTTTTTCGGTTGTTTTCTGAATGAAAAGCGGAGGAACCCAAACTGATTGTGGTTTAAAATGTTCCGGGAGTCAGAAAGAGTCCGAGCTTCGTTTGGTGGGACGTTAGTTGTCAGGTTTGTTACGTTAGAGCAGCAACATGAAATCATGTCATTATTCATGTATCTAACCTGAACGTTTATCAGCTCTGAGCTAGTCAGTCCGACCACAGACCGGACTCTGATGGCCCAGTCCCGACCCGAGTCTCCACCGGCCCCTTTCAGGACTCCTATATACAAATATATATATGTATAGATGTTTTATTTCTGGAGTTGTTAACAAATAATTTCCTCTGGGATTATTAAAGTATTTCGGATTCTGATCTGGCTCCATTCCTGTGTTGAAACCTAGTCTCAAACACAGAAACAGCTGCATCTCTGAGCGGTTTTATCTCTCAAGTAGTTTCTGGAAGAGCCCCAATCCTGGAGCCGTTCCCCCCAGAACCCGTTCTAGGTCCAGACTCCTAGAGGGTTCAGACTCCCTGAATCTTTCTGAGAGGCCAAACTCCTCCCGGTCCTGGTGGACAGCAGGACCTGGTCAGAAAGAGTCCGGCTGGTCCCTGAGGTTGTGTGTGGGGTCAGAAGTGGCCCGTTTGGACTCCTTTACTGAGTCACGTATCTGTGCAAAGACCCCAAGATCTCCGACGCCACCCAGGAGCCGGAGAGCTGCCGGGACATGAGGGCCTGGGGTGAGTGCTGCCCCCCCCCCCCCCCCTGCCAGACACCTCCCTCCTGAAACCCGCCCGGGTCACGTGAGAACCCAGAACCAGCACATCCAGGGTTTAAAGGCTGCCTCCATGAAGGGTTCTGCTCCAGCAGCCAAAGCCCCCAGGACCCGCCCCCCGTCTGGAAACCCAGCCGGCCTCCTGCCTGGGGGCGGGAGGGGGGGGGTCCTTCTGGGGGGTATTGGGGGTCCTTCAGGGGGCTGGAAGAGCCTCTTCAGTTGGGGGGGGGCTCTAGCTGTAACCAGTCAGAGAGGAAGCTGCTGGGCTTTCAGGCTGTTCAGACATGTTGAAGAAACAGTGTGTGTGTGTGTGTGTGTCTGTGTGTGTGTGTCTCTGTGTGTGTGTGTGTGTGTGTGTGTGTGTGTGTGTGCT